GCTTCACCACACGGAAATGGATTGCATGCATTCACGCATTCATAAATATTGGACAATTTGTATTCTATTTACGTGTGTTTTAAGTTAAATTTATGGAGATAATAATAATTTATAATATATAACTCATGACTCATTGGTTCTTCATCTAAATATTTTAATTCACTTAGTGTGTGAATGCGTCTATTTTGTGAGTGCAGTCAATCCAAAAATACGAGTTCACCTGCACCCACTCAATACTCATCACGTCCTCCTTCATCCAAACCAAAACTTATTTCCTTCTCTTCCAATCAAACCAATTTGGAGAATATTATTAAAAGAAATGACTAGGATAAAAGAATTCCAATAAATTTATTTAAGAGAAATATTTTATATAATTTTGTAATCGTCCAAAATTAATTCAACAATTCTTTTTTTCCTAATTACAATGACGGTAACATGCACTAACAGTACTCAACCATATAGTATACATATATATGATTTAACCATACGTATGACATGACTATGCGCTATTAATGCTTGTTCTAATTTAAGTAAAGTAGTAGAATTTTAGTAATTAAGATAGGAATCTCTTCATGTGTTCAGGTAAATTTTGATCTGATGCAAAGTTCTATCAACGAAACAAGTATGGTAGTTTCCGACTTAGGAGTGTTCATAAAGGTTTAACTAAACTAAATTATTTTTTAATTAAATTGAACTATAAAATTAATTAATTTGAATTGAATGAAACTATAAAATAGTTTAAAAAATTCAAATTAAACTATTTCTAATTTAAAAAATTATAATTCTAAAAGTTTGAATTGTGCTATAATTTAAATTCAATTAATTTTTTTTATTATAAATTTAACTAATTACATTATAAAAAATATTTTTTATTTCAAATTAACTCTTATTACCAAACTTATACTAGTAAACTAAAATGTGTACAATGCCATTTAATTTATAAAAATTACAATTTTTTAAGTGGTAAGTCAATTAAAATTTCTTATAAATAAATTAAGGTAAAATAGTTCAAATTTACAAGAGTATAATCATTAGTCAATGTTTCATTCACTTGAACTATACTTTGTATTGAATTAAATTATTTTTATACTATAAATAATTTTTTTTTCTCATGATTTGAGTTGAACGGAACTGTTTTTTATAGTAATTTAATTTTTAAAATCAAACTTAAGTTCAATTTTGTTTTTATAAAAAATAATTGAGTATTTTTTATAGTCTAGTTAAATTTAATTTTTAGAAATTTAACTTAAAATAATTTTTGGATAGCTCTATCAACTAATAAATTTTAATCTATAATTGAATAACTTTAAAAAAAATCTTTAAAATATATAGTTTTATTTATAATAAAAAAATTATTAATTATGCAGATTGAATATAACCATTATGCAAAAGTCATTATAACAATTTTTTATATAATTAAAGTGCATTAAACTACATTTTATAGAAATTTAATTTTTTAAACTGAACTTAAAATATAGTTTCATTTAGTTTTTATAAAAAAAAATAGTTCAATTTTTTATAATTTATTTTTTAAAATAATTTAGTTCAAAATAATTTTAATAACACTCCTAATTTCGGTTGAACCTGCTCATAGAGATGCACGAAACAAGACATTTATCTGGAAAAATAATTATGAGAGAACATTGTTTCATATTTAATAAACCGTTAAAACAAAGCACAAACTGTGTGATATCCGTAAAATCATGAATCTTTTATCTTTTAATTTTCTAATTAACCAGTTAAACATGAACATGTTTTTGGTAATTAAATTTTGTACCATATATCTTTAGATACTATTTAGCATTGCTCGTTATTTTCTAATCCTATATCATATTTGTATTTCTGTCTTGATATCTGTAGGCCTCATGTGAAGTATCACTAATCATTTTTGTTGACCAATAGAGTGAAACTGGGGTCCAAGTCAACCACCATGGCTAAACAAAGGTTCTACATCATGGCATCATGCTTTGCCTGGCTTGTTTGTTTTTGTACATGAATTGCAAACCGAAAATCCCAATCATTTTCACAACGCAAAACTCTGATTATTAGCTTATTAAATTGATTGTGAAGAAGATTTGAGGCAACCAAAAGCAATTTAATAACTTAGTTATAAGCTGAGTCTGAAGAGCACTAAGGTCTGTTGGTGGCACCCTGGCCCCGTCTATGATTCCAATTTTGACGAGAGGTAATGGGGTGTCGACATTCACACATAGTTCTGTCCTCTACTTAATTTCTTTCTAACTTTCAATGACACACAAATCTAATCATGTTCTGCTTCATGATACTCATTTAACTTCACATGTTCCACTTGACAGCATTTTTATTACTTTTCACACTCCAATTGGTTGCCTTGCTAATCCAAATCTAGGAGAGGCAGTGTGTTTGTTTCACTGAGGATATGTTGCTACACAAGTGTGGAGAAGATACTGATATTCTTGTTGCAAACCAAAAATCTTCCGAACAATGCATGAGAATAATAAACAGAAACAACCTCTAGTTTTTGCTTCTACCACTTAAGATTGTGAATAACTGTGGTAGGACATGTTGCCGTTTTTTGGGTCAACATGATGAGACAGATTAAGAATAGGAGAGCCAAATCATAAAGATATATACAAATTTGAACAAAGATATATACAATTATGAAAAGGATAAAAAGAGAAATAAGAAAAATCTTTGATTTGATACGTGATGTGATAAAAAATAATAATAATCTTTCACATAATGTTGTGGAAATACATTTGTATGAATAATATTGAAGTAATATATGTATGTCTTTATAATCACATAATTTATCTTATTTTTATATGTTTATAACTATATAACTTTTGAACAAAACAATTTCTGGAATGATTTTTACTGACTTTAAGAAAAATCGAAACAGTTCATAACAATCTCTTCTGAACTCTAAGATCTCCAAAGTTAATTTGGATTTCCCTCCATAGCCAGCCATGAGATCACTTCATAAGAGACCAAAAAAAAGAAAGAGCATCAGAACCCAGAGAAGTGCGCGCGAGGCTGCACTAGGGTCATTTCTGGTTCGGTTTTCAACCTTTGCAATGTAGCTATCTCATTCACAGCAACCTCACTTCAATTATGAATTACATTATTTTTCCTCTGCAATCATTCCCCCACTAGAAGTAAGCAGTTAAGAGAACTTGTGCCATCCACTAGACTCAACACAGTAATATTCTTTGTGCATTAGCATGAAAAACGACATAATCGTAAATATCCTCAAAGACAGTACCAAGTTGTCACTTCAGGGGGGGATTTGTACTACGAATTATGTGATCACGAAAAATGAAAATGCGTGATTACATGATAAAAAATGCGACCGAGCCATTGAGGTGTGGTTTTAGTGGACACTAGACACCAGCTTTCCTAATGTTAGCGTGTCCTATGTGTAACATTTGCATTTCCCGAGATAAGGAATATAAGGTAGTAGTACTATGTAGTAAACAACAGAAAGGAAATAAAACAATGGGAGTGCAGGATGTGATATATGTGGATGATGCGTGGGCGGAAAATAACAAAAGATGAACAGCACATATGTTTGGTAATGGGGAGACATAAAAATAGCTAGCTGACGACAATGGTGCATTCAGGGCCCTTGCATTGCTACATTGGAATACCCTTTGGAATATGGATTCAGCCATATATATATATATATATATATATATACGCGAGGGTCACATTCACACCATTTCTGATGTGTCTTAATCACATGAAAGCTCCATAGCTTCAACCATCCTTACCTGGTTTCCAACTCCGGAGTTCGGATCACCAGAAATATCCTTTTATTCCTATTTCTTCGGATACTCTTCACTTTTTCTTACCACATGTACATATTTTTCTCTTTAATTATTATACTTTTTTTTTTTGTATAGAAAGAAATATAAATATAATTTCTCTTTTTCTTTTCTTTTTCATAATTAATGTCTCTTTTTTCCTTTTATCCTCCTTTTGTAATTAAGATTACCCTTCGCGGTTGGAGATTTGTATATAAATCGAGGTCTGTGAGTCACACGTTTAACCTATAGCTACATGAGTTACGATCTTAAAAATGTTAACCCATTTAAAATGTTGGTTTCATGGCCTTAGACTGCTTAGCCTACAAATTAAATAGATTTATTTGCAAATGTGAGTTAGCTTCCAAACTTTTTGCACCGATGAGGTGCTCCCTCGGAATCTATCAAAGTATTTGCAAGTAGTAATTGATGAGATATTTCCTAATGACTTACCAAAGTTTTGACACATGCATTCATGAGGTACTCCTTAAACCTATTAAAAGTACTTGAAAGTAGTAGCTGATGTAAGTCATCTTGCATATGTCATGAGCAACATCACCATCCAATGCTACTCTTATGGTAAGATCATATGTGATGTAGAAATATGACTATACCAAAGATAATTGGCACTAAGAAGAATTTTTATTATTAAGAAAAGAACAAAACTATAAAGAAGAATTCTTAATGAATTCTTTATCTCTCATAATGTTTTGTAAAGACTATTTTCATTCTTCTATTTGAATGAATTGTTACAATCTTATGCACTTATTTATATTAGAATACAAGTAACACAAGTTTCTTGTTATGAATGGTTCATATTAACTAAACCATTAATTTGATAAATGATTTATAACTATTAACTATATATATGAAATGAATTCTAAGCCACATGTAACAAATATCCACCGTGGCTTGAATTCCATATGTCATATAGTTTTCGTCATTCCTCTATGTCGCTCCACTCACTTCTAATGTCAAAATTTGTTTCATCACTATAATGTCCTCACACACACATGTTCCTACCTATTTGGTGTCAAAAGGTGATAAACAACTTCTTTGATCAATTAAGAAGTGATAATTTGAGAAAAATATTTAATGTAAATATTTATTACACCAATGAACATTTCTCTCCTCAATAAGCAAATTGTGAAGATAGATGAAGCAAGCCATTGTAGACCCCTAAAATTGTCCGGGTCGGAAATAAAGTATTTTGGCGTGACTTTCTTTCAGGGATGGCAATTGGGAGAGACTTGATTGGAAAGGATAACCATGTGATTTCAGTGATCGGTGACGGAGCCATGACAGGTGGACAAGCGTACGAGGCAATGAACAACGCTGGTTTTCTTGATACCAACCTTATAATAATCTTAAACGACAACGAACAAGTTTCTCTTCCCACAGCAACCATTGATGGCCCCGCTCCTCCGGTTGGAGCACTTAGTAGGGCCCTCGCCAGGCTAAATACTAGTTCTAAGTTCCATCAACTTCGTGAGGTCGCAAAGGTAACACTTCAATTTTCTAACTTCTTTTTTTCTCCATGAGTTGAATTAATTTTGAAGCTTCAACTTCATGCAATAGGCCTATTTTAGTTGTATCATGATTTGCAAAACAAAACTGTTGTTAAAACATAATACAGACGATGTAGTTCTGCTGGAATCAATAAAGCACTGATTTCGACACGGACACCACAATTCGGTTAATGCTAAAACAATTTGGTAACAAGTTTTACTTATTCTCTTGATTCGTATCCAAATCATATAAGAAATGCATTAAAGTTGTATTAAAAATGTGTTTAAATTGTATAATAATAATTTTTAATTATGATACGATAAAGAGGTGTGAGAAATATGTTAAGGCATGTCTCAAAAGTATTATATCCAAAACGTGTTTAATAAATTGACACGACATTCATAGGCTTCTACTAATATTTGGTGACCGATGAACAGGGAATCACGAAGCAAATTGGAAGCCAGGCACATGAATTTGCATCAAAAATGGATTCCTACATTAGAGGGATGGTAGGTGGTGCTGGTGCTTGTTTATTTGAAGAGCTTGGGCTCTTTTACATTGGCCCAGTAGATGGCCATGACATGGAAGACCTTGTGCACATCCTCAAAAATGTCAAGGATATGCCAACACTTGGACCTGTTCTCATTCATGTAATCACTGAGAAAGGAAAGGGCTATCATCCAGCTGAAGTTGCTACCGACAAGATGCACGGTAAGTGATTTACATGTATCACATATGTTACTACCCTTTTATAATTATGAACATGACACTTAATTGTTTCCTGGTTGATTGAGAATTTTAGGGTATTTTTAAAATTAATTATGTGTCGTTATGCGTGTATTTTTTTTTTAATTAAGACGGCTTGAATTTAATCACGTACAAGTTACTATCTGCTGTAGCGATTTTAATAGTGTCGTTATTAACTGTTTTAACATCTAAAATGACTCAATTTTATAAAAATTAATTTTTTCATTAAAATAAAAAGTTATATATTTTAAAATATATTTAGTTTAAGAGTTGAACTTTTAAAATATTTTAATAATTTACAAAAAAATAAGATTTTTTAAAAATAACCCAGAATAGTTCAGTCAATTAAAAATAAATTAATAGTATATTTTAAGATAAATTTAAATTGAAATAATTAAGATTAAAAAAAACTTCATTTTTATAAAGAATTTTTTTTATAAAAAAAATAGAGAAAAAAAACCCTGAAAAAAAAGGTGCTAAAAAATGAAAAAAAAAAAGTAGAGTGATAGAAGAAAAACAAAATGAAAAGGAAAAAAAATTTACAAAATTTTAAAGACAGTAAACAAATATTATTAAAATACATCTGGAAAAGAAAAAAAATAAGTGAAGGGAAAAAATGTAAAAAAAAAGCACAAAAGAAAAATAATGAATTACAAAATAATTTTTTTTTAAAAAACTGGTAAAATAAATCTAGAGAGAGAAAAAATGACCCAATGACACAAGAAAAAAAAAAGTATTGCGCTTGCCTTCTTGCATGCTCGCCAAGTGTCATTTTTACCGCAAAAAATCCAATAAAAATTTGACACGTGACACCATAACAATAGAAAAAAAACTTACCATAAAATAATTTAAAAACGTTAATATTTTTACATATTATTTTTTCAAATTATATTTATTATTTTTTTCAAATTATATTACCTTCATTTTTTAAAATATAAATTAATATTTTAAAAACATTAATATATTTACATATTATATAAATAAAATTTTA